CTCCTCCCGCACGGGAGCTCACTGGGGGGATCCCCAGGAGCTGCATCACAGTTCACCTGCTGCTCCCTACCACGTTCAATTCCCCCAAGGACTTTTTTCAGAGGGACGCTCTCCCCCTCCGTATCGCACACTCACCTTCCCCTCTCTTCATCCCCAAGTTGTCTTATCCCCCTTTCCTCCTAGGGGCTTCATCTGCTGGGTCCTCTTCTGTGCCTTTGCCACAGTGCCCTGGGGGACTTGGCCTTGCTCGGGGTTTCTGTGCCGCCCCGGTGCACTGGGCAATCCCAGCAAAGCCGCCCCGGTGCGCAGGGCAATCCCAGCAAAGCCGCCCCGGTGCACTGGGCAATCCCAGCAAAGCCGCAAGCCTGCTGCGGCAGAGGAAGGGGGAACACCCTCACCAAAAAGCATCTTCAGACAAGGCCCGCTGCTTTTGCTCGAGGTCTCACGCCCCGTTCAGAAGATGCTCTGCTGGCTCCGCCGGCTCGCCAGGCTGCACGGGTCCCCTGCCGCCTTGCTGCAGGGGGGCAGGCAGGGTGTGTTTGGGCAGGAGCAGATTTCCAGGGGTCCTTGGGACTGCGGTGCTGACCAAGCCACTCGCTGTCACAGAATCATAGAATCACTTTGGTTGGAAAAGCCCTTTAAGGTCATCAAGTCCAACCTTTACCCTAACACTGCCATCCATGGCACTAAACCATGGCCCTGCCCTGGCGCAGCTTCAAACCATTCCCCCTCATCCCATCGTCCGTTACCAGGGAGAAGAGGCTGTCAGCAAGCTTCTGGTGGCTCCGTCCCCAAAGCCAGCTCCACCTGTCCTGCTGGCTGGAAGATACCAGTGAAAAACCCCAAAGCGACCAAAAGGCACGCGCGCACAGGGCCCTTCGTTCCGCTGAAGTTCCACTTGTTCTCAGCTCAGCCCGGGCAGGTCCCCAGGGCACACGTGGTGGGAGGCCCGAGGGGACACAGCCGGCCGCTCACTTCCCTTCCCGCAGCCTCCGGGCCAGGGCGACTGGGGACAAAGGGCAGGAAAGTGCGTGGCTGTGGCAGGACAGAGAGCAAGAGTACACGTGTGCGTGAGTGGGGGGGTCCCAGCCCGAGCCCCCCAGGTACCCCCCGAGCCCCCCAGGTATCTGTGCTGAGACCTGGGCAGCTTAGCACGCGAGACCTGGAAGAGTCAGACCTGGAAGGGACCTGGAGGGGCTACTCAAAGCATTTTGACCCGCACAGGCAAGTAGAAAACAGCTTTATTTTAAAGAACAAATGAGTATCCGAGCCTCCGCAGCCTGGGAAAGAGGTGACGGAGGTCTGAAGGCGTCGGAGGCCTGGGGAGCAGGAAAGGGCTGGCTTCGTGTCGCTCCCGGCACAAGGACGGTGGCACCCAAAGAGCGCCAGCCTGTGACGGCTGAAAAACCAGCAGAAATGGCTTTTCCACCCCACGTGTCATTGGGGCCTCCGTGCCACAGGATGCTGCGGGCGCTGGCAGTTCGCAGGGGACCGAAAGACGACTGCATAAATCACAGAGTGACCCCCCAACGTTTGTGAGACGAATAAAAACTCTCTCTTAGGCAGGAGGTCCTCGTGGCCCAAAGGAAACCTTCATGGCCAAGGGGCACGAAGCCCTCAGCAGCCCCACGGCTCGGGGGTGGAGGGGTGGTCCAGGCTGCCCTCTGGATTTTAAACTCATCGTTGCCGAGGGGTCACAGCCGGGGGTCAGGGCGAGGCAGAGGCTCTCCCAAGCTGGGCGCATCCCTGGCAAGGCACCCATCGCCACGCAGACTTCGTGAGTCGGGGTCTGGACCCTGCATAATCTGGAGACAGAGGGGGGTGATTACCAAATCCAGGCCCCCCCTGGCTCCCCTGAGGGTCGCCCCTTTTGTCCCGCCACGGAACTGCTTTGCTGAACGAGGGAGAGGCAGCGCGTGCTTGGCAGCTGGAGCTCACCTCCCTCTGCAAGGTTTTGCCCAGCCCACGGGCGGCTCCTCGCTGCGTCGGAGCGAGCGGTCCAGTTCAGAGAGCCCAGTGCGACGCAGAACATTGTAGAGCACTTTCTTTTTGCTAGGGTGGGCCATAAAGCAAGCCCTGTCCGTGTGCAGGACCTCGGAGGGAGCACGGGCGCTGCAGTTGCAGCACCGAAAACACCAACTGCGGCACTTTTTAGCCACGGGATCCAAAGCCACCTTTAACACCAGCCTGGCATCCAAACCTTGTCCCCACAGGCATCCCCGGTGTAAAGCTGTCCCTGGGCAGCCTGCCCTTCGGCTGAAGCCAGCAGCTCTGCTGGCTTCTGCGGGGCAACAGCACGTGAAAAAAAAAAAGAAGGAGCAAGCGCTGGAGCGGTGCCCGTGCTGCAGCAGGAGCAGCCCCTGCCCCTCAGACAGAGCCGTCCCCAGGGGTGGGGGAGACCTCAAGCAAATTCACAGCACCTGGCTGCCCGCAAGGCATCTCACCTCCTCCCACCACAGGATTGCTCTATGCTCTTTCCAAGGTTATTACAAGTTCTCAGGCGTTTCACTGAGACCGTTCCCTGGCTAAACCAAGTCCTGGCTACAGCCGTCCGCTCCGCCCATGGCCACTGGGATGTCAGGAGAGGCTGATCCCTTCCCCAGCCCCAACCAGCACACCAAGGCCCTTCTAGAAACCAGCCTATGTTGCATTACGGGCCAGTTCAGCCCTTCTGGATGCTCCCAAGGGTGGAAGTTGCTGTGCTCTATGTTAAGGAGAACCTTGAATGTCTAGAAGTCAGCTACAGCGATTGTGGAAGCCCTATTGAAAACTCTGGGTCAAGATCAGAGGAGTTATCTCCAAGGGGCATCTTACAGCAGGCATCTGCTACTGACCTCTAAACCAAGATGATAAGGCCAAGGAAGCAATATTTGGGTCACTTAATCAAGCTTTGGGTCAACAGAACCTGGTTCTTATGGGTGACTTGAACTACCCAGACATTTCTTGGAAGAACAGTACGGTTCCTGGAATGAGGCACTGCTGGGCTTGCTGCTCACAAACCGAGGACACCTCTTTGCAGTACCTCAGTTAGTGAGAGCCTTGGCCGCAGCCACCACAATATTGTGGGGTTTGGGATCCTGCAGAACACGCTGAAGTGCTAAGACAAAGGGTTTAGATTTTAGAAGAGCAAACTTCAGCCGGGAGGGACTCCATGGGAAGCCCCCATGGAGGGCAAAGGAGCTAGAGAGTGCTGGGACTTTTTCAAGAACGCTCTCCTGGAAACACAAACACAAAGACTCCCGCCATCCTCAGAGGCGTTGAGCATCACTGGAGAGAAACCATAAAACTGGGCGACTTGACTCGCTCCCAAAGACAAACGCATCCCAGCGCATCTTCCCAGGCCACTGAATTCGGTCCCGGGTGCCAGATGCACGTGACACTACCCCTTTCCTAACTGCATCCAGCTCTGCAACTTGGAGGGGGGGAAGTTGTCCCCCCCCATCCCATCTCTGAACAAGATGCTGGTGTTGCCTTTGGGGACTCAAGTCTGGAGATGGCCACGGGCTGGGCAATGGTGGCCAGCTCGTGAGCTGCCAGAGTAAAAATAGCTTCAGTGACACCTGGAGGAAAGCAAGCCCTCTGCTGCGTGAAGGTTTGGGTGCTAATGAGAGCATGGTCCTTGTCCCCAAGCTCAGCTGCAACCGCCCAACACCCTGGGATGGGGACCGAGGGACGGCGTCCAGGAGGGGGTTGAATATCTCCAGAGAAGGAGACTCCACAGCCCCCCTGGGCAGCCTGGACCAGGGCTTGGGCACCCTCAAAGTCAAGAAGTTCTTCCTCCTGTTCAACTGGAACCTCTTCTGCTTCAGTTTGTGCCCATGGCCCCTCGTCCTGACGCTGGGCACCACTGAGAAGAGTCTGGCTCCGTCCTCGTGACCTCCACCCTTGAGATATTTGTACGTGTTGATGAGATCCCCTCTCAGCCTTCTCTTCTCCAGGCTGAACAAGCCCAGCTCCCTCAGCCTTTCCTCGTAGGGAATATGCTCCAGTCCCCTCATCATCCTTGTTGCTCTCCTCTGGACTCTCTCTAGGAGTTCCTCATCCTCCTTGAGCTGGGGAGCCCAGAACTGGACACAGTGCTCCAGGTTGAGAACTACAAGGCGTTGCCAGGGCGTGCAGAGGTGCAGTCAGAAAGGCATCTGCTACTGACCTCTAAACCAAGATGATAAGGCCAAGGAAGCAATATTTGGGTCACTTAATCAAGCTTTGGGTCAACAGAACCTGGTTCTTATGGGTGACTTGAACTACCCAGACATTTCTTGGAAGAACAGTACGGTTCCTGGAATGAGGCACTGCTGGGCTTGCTGCTCACAAACCGAGGACACCTCTTTGCAGTACCTCAGTTAGTGAGAGCCTTGGCCGCAGCCACCACAATATTGTGGGGTTTGGGATCCTGCAGAACACGCTGAAGTGCTAAGACACTCCATAATCTTTGAGAAGTCGTGGAGATCGGGAGACATCCCAGAAGACTGGAGGAGGGCGAACGTCACCCCCATCTACAAGAAGGGCTTAAGGGAGGATCCAGGAAGTTACGGGCTCTTACTTCAGTCCCTGGGCAAGTTAGGGAACGAATCCTCCTGGGGGGTAGCTCAAGCCAGATGAAGCACATGGCTGGGAAAAGCCAGCATGGATTCACCGAGGGCATACTGTGCTTGACAAACCCGATCTAAAGGGTTTAGATTTTAGAAGAGCAAACTTCAGCCGGGAGGGACTCCATGGGAAGCCCCCATGGAGGGCAAAGGAGCTAGAGAGTGCTGGGACTTTTTCAAGAACGCTCTCCTGGAAACACAAACACAAAGACTCCCTTGGCTTAACTGCGAGCTTCCAAGTCTGCTCAAAACCAGAAGAGAAGCCTACCAGAGATGGAAAACGGGACAAATAACACGTTCACAGAATCACACAGAATCCCAGGATGGCAGGGGTTGGCAGGGCCCTCAGGAGCTCACCCAGTGCCACCCCCCTGCCCAAGCAGGCTCACCCAGAGCAGGGGGCACAGGACAGCGGCCAATCCCAGAAAACTGGAGGAAGGCGAACGTCACCCCCATCTACAAGAAGGGCTTAAGGGAGGATCCAGGAAGTTACGGGCTCTTACTTCAGTCCCTGGGCAAGTTAGGGAACGAATCCTCCTGGGGGGTAGCTCAAGCCAGATGAAGCACATGGCTGGGAAAAGCCAGCATGGATTCACCGAGGGCATACTGTGCTTGACAAACCCGATCTCCTTCTACGACAAAGTAACCTGCTCGGTTGATGTGGGGCAAGCGCTGGACGTTGTCTGCCTGGAGTTCTCCAAGGCTTCCCCGAGCCTCCTCCTGGAGAAACCGATGCGTTACGGTCTAGAGAAGTGGTCTGTGCAGTGGGTGGGGAACGGGCTGACAGATGGTGGTAAATAGCTCCTTGTCAAACTGGCAACCCGTCACGAGTTGGGTCCCCCAGGGATCGATATTGGGCCCAACGCCGTTTAATATCTTCATAAGTGATCTGGATAACAGGATCAAGTGTAGCCTGGTGAAGTTTGCCGATGATACCAAACTGAGTGGGGAAGTGGACATTTTGGAAGGGAGAGCCACCCTGCAGGAAGACCTGGAGAGGCTGGAAGAGTGGGCTAACAGGAGCTTTATGAAGTTCAACACAGACAAGTGTAAGGTCTTGCACCTGGGAAAACAATCCAGCACAGGCTGGGATACACCCGGGTGGGGAGCAGCTCTGTCTGTAAGAAAATCCCATTTGACACCGTTTGGCAGAAATGGGAAATTGTGCAAGCTACTGTAAGATGAAAAAGAAACTCACCAAAAAAAGCAAAAGTTGAGCTTGAATTGAAATTGGTCAGAGATGTCAAAAACTACAAGAAAGGGTTCTTCAGGTACATAAAAAACAAGCAGAAACCGAAGGAAAATACTGGCCCACCGTTAAGCACGGGAGGTGAACGAGTCACCAGCAGTGCTGAAAAGGCAGAGGTTCTCAACACCAGAGCAGGGCCACCAAGGTGAGAGAGCCGGGTTTGTTCAGCCTTGAGAAAAGGCAGCTTGGGGGAGACCTTATCACCATGTCCCAGTATGTAAAGGGTGGCTACAAAGAAGATGGAGACTCCCATTTCACAAAGAGCCAGTTGGAAAAGACGAGGGGTAATGAGTAACAGTTATTCCTGGGGAGATTCCAAGTGGATATCAGAGGAAAATTTTTCACAGTGAGAACAATCAGACATTGGAATAGTCTCCCCAGGGAAGCTCTGGATTCCCCAACATTGGACACTTTTAAGATTTGGCTGGACAGTGGGCTGGGATGTTTTGTCTAGATCGTGCTCTTGCCAAGAATTTGGACCAGATGATCCTTGAGGTCCCCTCCAACCTGGCATTCTGTGTTTCACACGGTTCTCTGATTCCCTGCCTTTGCAAGCACCTTTGCCAGCTCAGCCGACAGCTCAGTTCTTGCTGCGTTTGGACCGCGGTTAAACCATGGGTGGGTTGGACAGGCACTGTGGACCACAGGTTCTTACCTCTCTGCCCAGGCAGCTGCTCAGCGGGTGTCATAGCGTCCTTTGGGTGCCTGGGAAGGTGATGCCGAGCAGGCTGCGGAGGCCAAGCACAGGCGGCCAGGTAACACCCAGCCGCGGAGCTGCCCGGGCCCCGGCAGCAGCAGTGTGGCAACCAGCGAGCCCGGGCTGGGGTGGGAGGTCAGCGCTGACTGGTTGGGTGCCGATGGCTCAGTTATCCAGCAGGCGACCATGGGACATCTCCAGTAACATAACGAGGTGGGTTTGCTGTGATTCATCTGCACCAGGAGCATCCCACGGATGCGTTGGTGGGACACTGCGGCACCTGGCCCAGGACATGGGGCGTGGGGAAGGCGAGGACGCCCCGTGCGTCCGTCTGTGCCACCCGGGGCCGTTTTCACCAGTCCCTGCCGTCCGTCTGTGCCACCCGGGGCCGTTTTCACCAGTGAGTGCCAGCTGATGCAATGCTGCTCTCTGGGCAGCAGAAGGCTGTGGCACGTGATGCGTGAGGGGGTTCCCGTGCCTGTTAGTGGTTTAAAAACCTCCAGGGTGAGAAATTACCCGTGTTGGTGGGGCCTGCAGTGTCGGAGCTGATTTCTTTGCCCAACTAAATCTCAGCAAGATGTCGCTCAACGAACTTTTTTATCCCCCGCCGGAGCTGCCCAGTGAAGCCCGGCCGCCAGGGACAACCCAGCGGGAGGAGGAGCTTTCGCCAGCCTTTGTGTTGAAGAAACAAACCCCACCTCGGCTGTATCCACAAACCCTCCCCAGGCCAGGGACATGGGCCAGGTGCCCAGTAAAACCAGTTTGCTGGGGTTTCTAAGATACCACCGAAACAGACTCTGCTAACCTTGAGGTGAGCCCAGGTAGCACGCCGCCGGGCTCCTGGGCATCCAGTCCTATCTCCCACCCGCTGGGTTTGCAGACGTTTGAATTAAAGGTGACCTGTGGGCACGTCTCAATCAAGATCCTTGTGCCGTGTGCCCGCTGCAGCCTGCGGAGACCCCTGGCAAGGAGCCTGCGGGGCTGTGAGGTGGGGCGTGGGGAAGGCGAGGACGCCCCGTGCGTCCGTCTGTGCCACCCGGGGCCGTTTTCACCAGTGAGTGCCAGCTGATGCAATGCTGCTCTCTGGGCAGCAGAAGGCTGTGGCACGTGATGCGTGAGGGGGTTCCCGTGCCTGTTAGTGGTTTAAAAACCTCCAGGGTGAGAAATTACCCGTGTTGGTGGGGCCTGCAGTGTCGGAGCTGATTTCTTTGCCCAACTAAATCTCAGCAAGATGTCGCTCAACGAACTTTTTTATCCCCCGCCGGAGCCGCCCAGTGAAGCCCGGCCGCCAGGGACAACCCAGCGCGGGAGGAGGAAGCGATTCACTTGGTGCTTTCGCCAGCCTTTGTGTTGAAGAAACAAACCCCACCTCGGCTGTATCCACAAACCCTCCCCAGGCCAGGGACATGGGCCAGGTGCCCAGTAAAACCAGTTTGCTGGGGTTTCTAAGATACCACCGAAACAGACTCTGCTAACCTTGAGGTGAGCCCAGGTAGCACACCGCTGGGCTCCTGGGCATCCAGTCCTATCTCCCACCCGCTGGGTTTGCAGACGTTTGAATTAAAGGTGACCTGTGGGCACGTCTCAATCAAGATCCTTGTGCCGTGTGCCCGCTGCAGCCTGCGGAGACCCCTGGCAAGGAGCCTGCGGGGCTGTGAGGGTCCCTTGGCCACCTCCCTGCATCCTGGGCAGAAAGCAACTGGAGCCAGAGCACATTCTGGACGGTCACCCCCTTACCCAGCCGTATCTACCCAGTTTGGCTACACAGAGGCCGTGGGAGACCATGCTGAGAGTTTTGCTGAAGCAAAGGTTCTCCCCTCACCCACGCAGCCAGTTATCTCCTCTCAAAGGCACTGGGGTTGGCCCAGTACGACGTGCCCTTTGGAGATCCCTGCTGGCTGTTCCCTTCTCATCCTTTGGGTGCCTGGCAGTGATTGCCGGGAGGATTTGCGCCACCACCTTCCCAGGGACAGAGGTGATGTTGGGCAGCTGTAGTTCACCAGCCCCTCCTTCTTGCCCTTCTCAAAGTTGTGTGTGACGTTTGCCTTCTCCCACTCATCAGGAGCATCCCAATTGCTACGATCTTCCAAAGGCATCAGGGAGGAGCCATGGCATCCGCCAGCAGCCTCGGCACCCTCAAGGGCATCCCGGTCCTGTGGAGTTGCGGTTGTGTGCCCAAGTCAATCTTCCTCTAGCACGGATAACGCCTCACCCCCGCAGGCTCCGCTGCAAGGACCAGCGACCCGGGAGGATCGGGGACAAACCTCAGCAATAACAATGGGGTCAAAGAAGGCTTTGAGGCCCTCAGCTGCTCTGGGCCTGTGGCCACCAGGACCAGCGACCCAGGAGGCTTGGGGGCCTTGCTGGCCAGCAAGAGCTGGGCTGCAGGAAGCCCCCGCTGTGATGCCTCCTGAGCCAGCACCTCCCGAAGCCGCGTGGGGTGGGGGGATCCAGGCTGCTGTGAATCACCCTCTCTGCTAGAAGGAACTTGCTCCCGTTTCACCCCTGGGAACCTGCTGCACTTCATAAATTCAATCTTGGAAAGCTGCTGCGCTTAATAGATTCAATCTCAAGAAATTCTGGTTTTCCTTCCTTGTTCCAGCTTGGCTCAGGTGACATGATCTGACCGATACGGTGGGGCTTTCCGGAGCTGTAACCCCATGGGTGTTGAACCCTGCCACATCCACCCAGAGCTG